GATGATCTGTCCGTCCACTGAGCGGACTGCAGTCGTCTGCAAGGAGGGCTTAGAGTTCAGCTTTCTCTGGGCTTGGCAGGCAGGGCAAAGGTCATTTACCAAAATATGGCCCTCAACCTCCTCAGCAAGATTCTTGATGAATTGTTTCTTGTCCCTTCTCGCGACACATTTCTGTGGTCTCTAGTGTTTCCAGGGAGATAAAATTCTGCCTTGCCCTCGGGTGTAGGCCAATCGACTGCGCTGCTTCGAGTTTTTCGCGCTTGAAGGACTCGCACAGAACAACGAGGTCCTTCTGGTTTTCAAATTTTGCAAATTAATCAGAGACAGTCGCGGCGAATCCACGGGCATCCTCCTCCTTTCTCAGTCTGTCCAAGTGATACATCCTAGAGTGGCCACTGGAGGGACGGCGAGCTTTGAAGTGTAGGGTAGCCATTGCCAGCCAATGGTCAGTGCCACAGACCTCGGCACTCCGGTAAACCCTGCACTTCTGAAGGATCATCCATCGAGTGCTGACAAGAATGTGGTCAATCTCCTTGGCCACTTTACCCATATCGCTAACCCATGTCCAGCGATGCAAGTTGGAGCACTGATACCACGAGCCAGAAATCCTCTGGGACCTAGCAAAGTCCAGGAGAAGAAGGCCGACAGACATCTCGTAGCTAGCTCGATCACAGCCAGATACCGCAATGAAGTCGCCCAGAACAATGCGAATCTCTCGCCGGGGGGAAATTGTCTGCCCCGAATGTGAGTTTGGCATAGAATGCTTCTTTTACATCGAGTTTGCAAACATCGGTAGGAGCGTACATAGCAATAAGATACACGACAACAATCCAGTGCCTTTATTCATTTACCTTTATTCACTTCTCTATCTTTACATCCTTCACTTCCATGTAACAACAAGCTCTTAATACCCAGAACCGATGCAGACCTGATACAGACCTGCGCGGGAAAAAGAGTCGGACCTGATGAAGAAGGGGAGAGATAGCAAACCCTGCCTTGCGTTCCATTGGAAAATACGGAATACTTTTAAAATACGAAATACTTTTAAAATACGAAATACTTTTAAAATACAGAATACTTTTAAAATACGAAATACTTTTAAAATACGGAATACTTTTAAAATACGAAATACTTTTAAAATACGGAATACTTTTAAAATACGGAATACTTTAAAAATACGGAATACTTTTAGAATACGGAATACTTTTAGAATAAAGAATACTTTTAAAATACGGAATACTTTTAAGATACGGAATACTTTTAAAATACGGAATACTTTTAAAATACAAAATACTTTTAAAGTACGGAATTCTTTTAAAATACGGAATATTTTTAAAATACGGAATACTTTTAAAATACGGAATACTTTTAAAATACGGAATACTTTTAAAATACGGAATACTTTTAAAATACGGAATACTTTTAAAATACGAAATACTTTTAAAATACGGAATACTTTTAAAATACGGAATACTTTAAAAATACGGAATACTTTTAGAATACGGAATACTTTTAGAATAAAGAATACTTTTAAAATACGGAATACTTTTAAGATACGGAATACTTTTAAAATACGGAATACTTTTAAAATACAAAATACTTTTAAAGTACGGAATTCTTTTAAAATACGGAATATTTTTAAAATACGGAATACTTTTAAAATACGGAATACTTTTAAAATACAGAATACTTTTAAAATACGGAATACTTTTAAAATACGAAATACTTTTAAAATACGAAATACTTTTAAATTACGAAATAGTTTTAAAACACGGAACACTTTTAGAATACGGAATACTTTTAGAATACGGAATACTTTTAAAATACGAAATACTTTTAAAGTACGAAATTCTTTTAAAATACGGAATACTTTTAAGATACGGAATACTTTTAAAATACGGAATACTTTTAAAACACGGAATACTTTTAAAATACAGAATACTTTTAAAACACGGAATACTTTTAGAACACGGAATACTTTTAGAATACGGAATACTTTTGAAATACGGAATACTTTTAAAATACGGAATACTTTTAAAATACGGAATACTTTTAAAACACGGAATACTTTTAGAATACGGAATACTTTTAGAATACGGAATACTTTTAAAATATGAAATACTTTTAAAGTACGGAATACTTTTAAAATACGGAATACTTTTAAAACACGGAATACTTTTAAAATACGGAATACTTTTAAAATACGGAATACTTTTAAAACACGGAATACTTTTAAAACACGGAATACTTTTAAAACACGGAATACTTTTAGAACACGGAATACTTTTAGAACACGGAATACTTTTAGAACACGGAATACTTTTAGAACACGGAATACTTTTAGAACACGGAATACTTTTAGAACACGGAATACTTTTAGAACACGGAATACTTTTAGAACACGGAATACTTTTAGAACACGGAATACTTTTAGAACACGGAATACTTTTAGAACACGGAATACTTTTAGAACACGGAATACTTTTAGAACACGGAATACTTTTAGAACACGGAATACTTTTAGAACACGGAATACTTTTAGAACACGGAATACTTTTAGAACACGGAATACTTTTAGAACACGGAATACTTTTAGAACACGGAATACTTTTAGAACACGGAATACTTTTAGAACACGGAATACTTTTAGAACACGGAATACTTTTAGAACACGGAATACTTTTAGAACACGGAATACTTTTAGAATACGGAGTACTTTTAGAATACGGAGTACTTTTAGAATATGGAGTACTTTTAGAATACGGAATACTTTTAGAATACGGAATACTTTTAAAATACGAAATACTTTTAAAATACGGAATACTTTTAAGATACGGAATACTTTTAGAATACGGAATACTTTTAAAGTACGGAATTCTTTTAAAATACGGAATACTTTTAAAATACGGAATACTTTTAAAATACGAAATACTTTTAAAACACGGAATTCTTTTAGAATACGGAATACTTTTAGAATACGAAATACTTTTAAAATATGGAATACTTTTAAAATACGAAATACTTTTAAAACACGGAATACTTTTAGAATACGGAATACTTTTAGAATACGGAATACTTTTAAAATACGAAATACTTTTAAAATACGAAATACTTTTAAAGTACGGAATTCTTTTAAAATACGGAATACTTTTAAGATACGGAATACTTTTAAAATACGGAATACTTTTGAAATACGAAATACTTTTAAAACACGGAATACTTTTAGAATACGGAATACTTTCAGAATACGGAATACTTTTAAAATACGGAATACTTTTAAAATACGAAATACTTTTAAAGTACGGAATTCTTTTAAAATACAAAATACTTTTAAAACACGGAATACTTTTAGAATACGGAATACTTTTAGAATACGGAATACTTTTAGAATACGGAATACTTTTAAAATACGGAATACTTTTAAAATACGGAATACTTGTAAGACACGGAATATTTTCAAAATACAGAATACTTTTAAAATACGAAATACTTTTAAAATAAGAAATACTTTGGTGCGCTACAAAGAACACGCTCGAACGGAACGGTCTGTAGAGCTACGGTGACGCTCAAATATTAACATTGAACCACACGAGAAAAGCAGGGGAAACAAAGGAGACGATACAGAAATAGGGGAAGACAGGAGAGAATCAAGAAATAGTGGAGTGAACGGAGAGCAGGGGAAAAGCAACGAACCAAAAAAGAACGAGAGAAAAAAAAAGGGGAGACCCAGAGAGAACGAGAGAAAAAGCAGGGGACCAGAAATAAAAAAGAGAGAAAAGCAAAGAACCAGAATAAAAAAACGAGAAAAAAAAATAGCAGAGGAAATCAGACAGAAGAAAAAGCAGGGGGAGACAGCAGGGAGGGCAGAAGAGACAGCAGTTGTTCCCGTAACTCCCTGCCTCCTCCTCCTCCCCCCCCCTCTCTCGCGTTTACCCCGAAAGCGACAGGGACAGCAGTGTCATTCTCGGCTCTGCGGTTCCTTTGTAAAATCCCTCGATGTCTTCTAACCCTCAGGGACACGGCGGCGACCTGCTTCGAGGCTGAGGTTCCCCGGCCGCTGATAAAAGCCTCTGTATCTCGAGGGCCGCCGGCGACAGACACAATATTGGTTCCTTGAAGCTGTTGAATTTTTGACTCGTCTTCTGCTTCTCTGGGTTGGGGTGGGTGGGGGTGGGGTGGGGGGATGGGGGAGATGGTGTTGGTAGAGGGATTGAGGGGGGGGAGGATAGGGGGGTGGGGGAGATGGTGTTGGTAGAGGGTAGGGGGGTAGTGGGGGAGAGGATAGGTGGGGTATGGGGTAAGTTAGGGGGTAGTGGGGGAGAGGATAGGTGGGGTATGGGGTAAGGTAGGGGTGGTAGTGTTGGTGAGGGTAGGCAGGGTAAGGGATAGGGATAGGTCGTGGGGGAGAGGGTTTTCGGGGTAAAAGTATAGGGAGTGGGGAGAGGGTAGGGGAGGGGTATTGGGGAAGAGAGCAGAGGGATAGTAAGAAAGAGGGTAGGGGGTGTGGGGGGGGGAGAGGCAAATGGGTTAAGGGGCAGTGAAGGAGAGGGTTAGTAAGGGTAAGAGATAGGGAGGAAAGATGGGGAAAGGGAAGAGGGAGGGTGTTGGAAAGGGGGGAGGGGAAAGGTTAAAGATAGGAGAACGGCGCTTCCTGTAGGATGGATCCCGTGCTAGTGGGGGTGGGGGGGGGTAAGGGAGAAGAGAATGGGGTAAGAGAAAGAGAGAGGAGAATAGGAGGGAGAAGGAGAAGGGTTGATAGAGAGGAGGTAGGGAGGTAGGGAGGAAGGGGGGAGGTCGAGTTGCCTGCGGATAGAAAAGGGGGGGGGGGGTTGATTCCTTAATATTTTTTTTTTTATGCTGGAGGTGATGAAAGTGGGGGGGGGGCGATCGAGGAAAGGGGAGAGATAGACGGGCGGACGAGCACACAGAGAGACAGAGGTGAAGGGAGGTTAGGGATAGAGTTAGAGAAATGGAGAGAAAGGGAGGAATGAGAGAGAGAG